CTTGACGATCCAGAAAATATCCTCTGGTCCCTCAGGACTTGACTGCCGCATGCATTTGAATAATAAAATGCAAACTATGTCACTCCCGGGCGGAAAAAAAAAAAAAAAAAACTCAAGAAAATACTATCCTGGACGAAGAGTCAACACAATCTATTGTTTAGCTTCGAGGGTCGGATGGTTGCGGTGTCTGATTTTCTTTTTCAAGCAACAGGGACACTAAGAAATGCAGAATCTGATTTTAAACACACAGATATGTGCTCTACTCTGCACTATCTGTGTAGAAATTCACATAGTTTGTGAATGTGTTGTCAAGACTTTATCCAGCTTCCGGCAGGCTCTCTGACAAACAGACACTTATTCTACATGGGCTCACCAGGGGATCTCTCAGACTGTTTTCCACCAGTGGAAAACAATAAAAGGGAACGAAGCAGGAAAGCTGTCAGGAAATATAAAACTGTCAAGCAGCTTTGTTTGCTATGACACAGCGCCTTGCAAAAGTATTGACATCCCCATAAACCTTTTGTTTTAAACCTTTTTAGCATGTACACACACACACTTCAGCATACTATATCAGGAGTTTACGGGATGGTCCAACAGAAGTACTGCACATTTGTGAAGTGGAAGAAGAAATGATGCTCATTTTTTTAATTTTTTTTATTGTTCCCCCCAAGGGTAAAAAGCAGAGGCCAGCTGCATTGTGTGAGATGGTATTTGACAAAAAACTGATATGCGGAGGCACTTCATCGGTCACCCCCAAGGCCGAGGAGCCTCTGTGGCTTCTCTGATAACACACACACGCACACACACACACACACAGGAGCAGGCGCATTACCAACACACACAATGCATAATCTTTTTTGTTTTTGTCACTGTGCATTAATACACTATCTTAAACGATAACATCTCATGCGTCAAGAATCTATCCAAATAATAATAATGAAAACAATCTGAATTGGGGCAGAGATATAAAAAGAGGTTCGGTAGATCATCACTTGTTTGAACCAGTAATCTATTTTTCTTCTGTCGTATTAAACATGTTTGCATTGTATGAGCGTATCCTGTTCGGGACACTTTGCGTCTCCACAGCATCATGTTGCCATCACCGTGCTTCAAAGTGAAGATGGTGTATTCAGGGTGAAAGAGGTAGATAGTTAATGATTTAACTTTGCTAACGAATACTTTGTTTGAAACTTGTACATTCTTTGTCAATAAAACTGAACTGACTGAATGGGAAACAGCTCTGATTTTGTATTATTACATTAGACTTCGATATGGTCTTTGACTAGACCTTTAAACCTCAGTTATATGTTGAATTTTAAGTTATGGAATAATCTAAAGCAACAGGTTTTCTTCCTCATGTGTCAACTCCGACCAGCTTCCCTGAAACATGTTGTGACATCAACCTTCAGGAATTTGCTCATTATTTAATGGCCTCTCATGTTTAGTTGTTGCGTTGAATCATATAAAGACGGGTGTGTCTTCCTGTTTCACCCCCACCGGAGTGAGAGGAAGGCTCCCTTAAATTTTTCCACTTTCTTACTCAACCCTGGTTGCTCTCAGCAGAGAGCAAATGGGACATCATGCTGTTTCAGGTCTGCCTTTGTGAAAGACAGAAAGCTGTTTTTTTCCTTTGGGCTGATGAGAATGAACGTCCTGGGGGGGGGGCGTGTCTAGTACTTTTCCCCACCTCGTCATGCCAGCTTTTTAAGTTGCCTCACTTCCACAGTCAGTCAATTTAAAGCTTTGGGCCCTTCAAACAAGCATCACTAGCACCTGCAGGCTTACCTGGCTGCACATCTTCTCCTCAAGGTGAGTTTTTCTTTCACTATTTGTGCCGTTTCTTATCAAACTGGACGGGAAATGATGAGCTCTTCTGTCAGGGTTCCACTGGTTCTTAAATGTTGACTTAATCTTTGTAATGAAATTGTCATTGAATTTTCATTAATGATTATTGCCTATAATATTTTTAATAGAATTATCAGTGTCGTCTTACTCACCAGTTATCAAATTTTAAATGAAAGAAGAGAGGGTGGAAAATGGTACTTGATACACTGATATGAGATATTAATCACAGAAACTGACTTCTTAGGAACGACATTTCTTCCCTGAAGCTGCATTTAAAAAAAAAAAAAACTCAACATTTATTAAAATCAAATGCTATACATATCCAGTTCTTCTGATTTAACGTAAACAAACCAGATATAGCATTAACATTTAACTTGAGGAGCTTCCTTAACATCAAACTTGTCACATAAGCCAGTTTTCTTCCACAACAAGGCAGATATTGTCGGACACAGTCATGTCCTAACTCATACTAAGCAATGTTTTTTGTGTCGCCATCTCTAATTGACAAGCAATATGACAAATTTCAACACAACGTGTTGCAATCCACGCTTGTGGTGGTGCTTCGGAACAATGCTGGCAGACTTTGATGCAGAAGAAGTCTTGCATAATGCTGAAATGAAAGTGTACCAATCGTGATGCAGGTCTGTAGTGATGCTGTCGTAATCTTTCGCTCACCTCAGAGTTGCTGAGGCTCCAGTCACTAATGATCCTTTTTACAGGCATATTTTTCCATACATTAAGCCGTATTTGCATGTTGTCCAAATAATGACCCAGGTTTTATGGGATGTTGTTGCAGTTTTACAGTCTTTGTTTTATTTTACAGACTCTTCCAAACAACCTTGTAGCAGAAATAAAATGGAGGACCCTTGGCAAAAGGCTTACGACTTTGCAGTTTCTGTGGCAAAAAAGGCTGGAGAGGTGCAGTTTCTAACTTTGTTTTATCTCTTTTCGACACAGCAGCAATAAATGCACTGAATAGCGGAAGTGTGGGTGACTTTGAGAATAATTTGGTTCCGCTTATAATCTGAACAATTAGGAAATTCGAAAAGCTGGCGAGAGTGAAATAAGAATCATGACCAAGAGCTCCTCTGTGGACCTTGTCACCAAGACTGACGAGAGGGTGGAGAAAATCATCATTGGGTCTCTGAAGGAGGAGTTCGGAGAAGGAACACACTGGTGAGCAATGCATAGAGACACGCGAGTTTCACAAAGGCTCAAAATTGACGTCCATCATTTAATTTTGCTCCTCTTCCTACTCTGTGCTGTAGCTTCATTGGGGAGGAGTCTGTTGCAAAAGGTGAGCCGTGCATCTTGACCGACAAACCTACGTGGATCATCGACCCCGTAGATGGCACCACAAACTTTGTGCATGGGTAAGGTGACGGTTGAGCACATTTTGTGTAACAGAGATGCTGATGTTTGGCAACCATGTTACGTAATATACGAATCTGGCAAAAATCCGTAATGTACAAGACTCTCAAGTACCCAGGAAGTCAGTTTTCTTGCAGTTTGGTTGTAGTTTTTGAGGGAAAAAACAAACATGAAGAACAATTACTAGGACAAAAACTCAAAAAATGAGCCCTAATTTTGAAAATAGAATTTCTAAACAGATTAAATTAAAAGATATTCAGAAAAGTAGATAATGAACATGTGCAGTGAGTGTTTGAGGCAATAATCTTTCAACAAAAGAGCCAATCAGCATCTCATTAACTTTGTATAGCAATGCAACGACCCATTATTTGTATCTAAATGCTGCTATTTACTTACAGGTTCCCATTCGTGGCAGTTTCCATTGCCTTTGCTGTCAATAAACAGGTATGTGAAAAAGACACGAAAATCCACATTTCATTCTCACCGCTTGATGCGACACTTTAATAAACGATTTCTGTTTGTAGTTGGAGTTTGGTGTGGTGTACAGCTGCTTGGAGGACAAGATGTATAAAGCAAGGAAAGGGAAGGGTGCATTCTGCAACGACGAACCCATTCAAGTTTCTGATGTGAAAGGTAAAAATGGAATTCACATTTTAATATTTAGATTAAATTTACCATGTTTATATCAAGCAAAAGTGTTAAATCTCTCCGACCTTCTGTTGTTGTAGATATCCACAAGTCCATTATCATTTCTGAGCATGGAACTGATAGGAGTCCAGAGAAAGTGACCAAAATCTTCTCCACCATGCAAAAGATTCTCTGCATCCCAGTTCATGGGTAAGTTGAATGACAATGTCTGCAATTTAAAGTCAAAAATCCCCAAACACCAAATTTTGCCATTTTAAAATTAGGTAAGCAATAAAAACTCTAACAATGGATTTAAAAAACGCATTTAGATTTGATTTTTCCTTTTAGTTGAGTCAGCAGTAAGAACATGAAATTAACTTCTAACATCCAGATGTATTATTCTTAAGGATAAATACATCTTTCTAATTACACTATTTTTTTAAATCTTAAATGTTATTGGGACAGACAGAGGAAAATGAAGTGCAGCATTAATCTGAAGCAAAGTTATTAAAACTTCAGCTTGAGGTGTTATCATGTGGAGCTTTGAGCAAGCCATAAGCAAGGCTGAAGCTACATTTTATAATATGAAATAATTAATTCTCGTACTTAAAAATTTAAAAGTTAGTTTGAAAAAAACCCTTTAACCTTTCAAATAGTAATTTTGCTCAAACTACTAATTTAGAAATGTTTATTAGGGTCAACCTCTGAAGCTAACGTTAAGCTAAACTAAAGGTGCATTTTCAGTTTTTTTTAAATCTCCGTCTGAATGATCATTTTTTTCAAATCCTATCGATTTTAATTATAGCTACACAGAGAAATGAAACACAATTAAAACTGTACCAGTGTGAAGAAAACTTCAGCAAACTTGTGCTAGCATCGCTAAATCAAGCGTTTTGCTAGCAAGTCAGTAGTAATCACATAGACAGCAATAATAATTTGTTTAATGACTTTTGTCACTCTGCTTTTATGCTTGAGTGTTTTCAACTGAGGTTTGAAAAATCTCCCTCACCAATAAAAATGCAGAAACATCATTTATAGTGAATTGATTGGTCGAAGTAGAAGTATTGAAGTTACACTGACAAAAACAACTTGGAGCAGTTTGTGTGCTAAGGCTACATATGTAGCTACCGCTAGCTGTGGTAAACTCAGGTATTACATTAGTCTTAATTTTGCTTTGTGCTCCCATTTTGAAATGAAACCTACTAACCTGAAAAAAAAAATACGTAAAAAACGAAAGATTTGACAAGAAACACGCAGAAACAAAAAATACTATTCTTCTGGGTTGAACCTCTTAGTATAGATGGAATATGCTTCCTTCCTGGACATCTTTGCATGTTATTGATTGTTGATCGTTTCCCCTCTGAGTTAACGTTTTCTGTTTTCTGTTTTCCCCAGGCTCCGAGGGTCAGGAACAGCTGCTACCAACATGTGTCTAGTGGCGACCGGGGCGGTGGAGGCCTTCTTCGAGATCGGGATCCACTGCTGGGACATCGCCGCTGGAGCAGTCATAGTCCAAGAAGCTGGAGGAATCCTTCTGGACGTTGATGGTATATTCACTTTTACAATCGTGCTACAAAGCAAATGTTTTTAATCTTGGGGATTCTTCACTGTATATATCAGCGTCGCACTTCTTAACAAAAGCTTTGTTTTGAACTTAGGCGGACCTTTTGATTTGATGTCTCGAAGGATGGTCTCAGCAAACAACGATGTCATTGCCAAACGCATCATCAAGGAAATTGAAATATTCCCCTCAACGAGGGATGACGCACCAATTGAGAAAAAGTGAGAAGATTTTTAAAGGCTGGCTGCTCTGAATTTGCATATGGACTGGAAGATGAGAACAAGAGAAAAGTATGTTTTGTACATGTCTAAATTAAGTTACTGATTGTCATCCCTGATTGTCTAAGTGTGAAAGCTTGGTGTGATTTGTTGGTAGCATATTTTGCCCCTTCATATCATTTTTCTCATTTCAAGCTTGTATTAAATTTGATTGCCTCTCTGTTTTGTGTCTATCAAATATTTTATTTAAAGGAGGAAATGGTGGTAATTTTGCTTTTACCAATCTTGTATTTTATCCGGCGGGGTTTTGTCGCTGACCAACCACGTTTCACTTTGCTTTGACAATAAAACCTTTAATCAGCAATCACCTCCACAATTTTTTTGCTTAATCTAAGCCCTGACATTCTGAAATCTCTCCGAGACTAACTTTTGAGAATTAAAATGACGTCAGTTTGATTGTAAAGGCTTGTTTTTATTTTAAACATGTATTTAGAGGGTAATAATATGACATTGAATTCTACCTATTCTCAGAAAAAAAAAACAAAAAAAAACTTACTTTGCTTGCTTTTATTCACTTCACTTCCTGAGCCAACCACTAGAGGTCAATAATGCATCAGAAACTAAATTGAAACGCCTGCAGCAGGCGTTTCAAGTTATATTGTTGTATGCTTTACTGTTTTAATGATGCTCTTGAGTGTTTTCTCAGTGTCCTTCGCAAACACATTTCCCATCCTATAAAAACACCGGTCAAACACTCGAGATCACTCATGATATCTATTAAATCATTACATTTCTTCCTGGTAACCCCTCAATGAACAATTGACTTTGGCCACAACAGGGAGGGAAGACGGAGGTGAGAGATGAGAAAACAGCTGCAGTTGTAAATAAAACAAGATAAACAATCAGAGATAGCAGCAGCAACAATAAAAATAACAGCAGGAGGTCAGGTAAAAGGCTGCGGGGGCGACGTGCCTCAGAACATGCTTACAGTGCTGCCTTTCAAACAGCAGCACGAGGTGTGAAAAGATTCTGTGCTCATGTTGCTCAGGAGGGTCTTAAGATGGCAAAATGTTAGTTACATTTCATCTTCTAATGTGCAATATGAGGACAATTCTCTAACAGAGACAGTAATAGATGCAATTAATAGTTGCAGTTTTACTTTTGCCCTAACTTCCATAACAGATGCCAGAGACTGTGAGTGCATCACTGTGAGGTTTTCAATATTAAAAAAAAAAAAAATCAGAAGAGCATGCCATGTAGATTTAGTCTGCTCACCAGAGTAAATACATTTTAAAAGCAGCTTTCCCTATTCATCTTTGCAAAATAGCTCAAACTAAAACGAATCGGACATGGAGCAACCGTGAACAGCAGTGTTCAAGCCTTGCCACAGTTTTTTGAGGTCTGAACTTTGACTGGGCCATTCTCACTAATCTAACTGTAATGCAGTTGTCATTACTTTTCAAGGTTTTTCATATCCTATTCATGAAATACAGCTTCGGTGCCGTCGTTGTGGAAGGCTGCAACATTTCAAGTAGCACAGAATGAAACTCTGCTTGCCAATAACGTGTTTGTCCAGACAGATGAACATTTATAGCCCACATCCGATACATATTTTGGTGACAAAGATGCTAAAGGTCATGTACGGTGGAGATGGCACTGAGATGACAGAAAGCTTAATTGCAGAAATCTCAGTTTTCAACAATAACATAGCAATTTCATGTTTTCCAGTCATTCAACCCTAATTTCAGCCATTAACAGGTTTTCTTCTAGGATTGTCCTTCTCCACTGATTTTGAAGAGCTTCCATTTTCCTTCTGAATAAACCCCACCACACAGCATGATGCCGTCTCCTCCATGCTTCACTGTTCGTTTTCTGCCATGCACAGTAATTTAAAGCTATTTCTTAGCATTCCTTGCTTTAGAACAGCTGGATTTATACTGAGTGTAAATTCCACCTGGGTGGACTCAGTAGTTCCGTTTTTAGCCTGATTGAGTTTTGAAATTCCAGTTTTCACATCACGACACGGCGACAAGCTTCATCATACAGCGGTGTTGTATCTCCAGCAACAATAAGCAGCTTATAAAGAGACATGAATGATTTATAATTCAGTGCGGTATAGCTGTAAGCAATTACAGAGACATTAAAAATTCTGCTGCCATTCATCAACGTCGACGGATTCTTCTACGTCTAATGGATGTGTGTGGAAAGATAATGAGTTATCGACAATGACATAATGGTGCGTTTGTCAATAAGCATAACTTGTCCTTAGAATAATTAACAAAGGGATATACAATATTGCTCAGTTATTGAGTGTCAAAACACAAACAAAACAGCTTTAGAGGGAGAAATACAATACGCGTCTAGGTGAATATGATTGAAATGTCTCATTAAAGCAGGATTTACTCAGTTTTCATGACCGAGTTGCAGAATTTATAAATCAGAGGGGAGAAATCACATTTTGACAAAACAGCTGGAACCAGACGTTTACATGCACTAAATAAAAATATTTTCTTCTCAATGTTTGAAATTAAATCAGACTAAAGTTCTCTTGTTTTAGATAAGTTGGAATCAACAAATTAATTTCTATTTGCTAGAGGCCAGAAAATGTTTGAGATTTTTTTTTAATGTATTCATTTATTTTTAATAACTTTTGAACGTTGAAGCTTGCATGCATTTGGTCAGCATGCAGGGACAATTGTCTTTTAAAATGGATGTCTTGAGTCAATTTTTTGTTGTTTTTTTGCACAAGTTTCTCTCAATTGCTTGCTGGTGTTCCGACCCGTTCCTTTGGGCAGAGCTGCCACAATGCAATTATTGCATATCAGTTTCATTTTGTTCATAATTAAGCATTTTAATAAATAACAGAGTTAAATACTGTAAATCCTTGTGTAATATTTTCCGAATACAAATGACCAAAGTACAGCACATGGATGATCTTATTGTCTTTATTTTTATTTAATATTTTTTCTAATTCAAGTGAAGATTCAACAAAAAATATACCAGGAAAAATATTAATGACCTTCACAGCTCATTGATAAGTTGATCAAAGTAAATTTGATGATAATCTTGTTTATAATCTAGCAGGCCTGCTGTAAGTTTGTTGTTCTATAAAGTTTCAAGTCTTTTACAGCCTCCACAGAATTTGGTGACTAAGATGCTGAAGCTAATTGACCCCGTCATCTATTGTTGACGTGGAAAAGTAATATTGCAGTTTCATATTCACCTGCAATCATCCAGCCTAACCTGAAGCACTCCTCTGCAGCTATGGCTGTATGTTTACTGCCACTTTATCTTCCCTCCCCACAGCATGATTCTGCCACCACCATGTTTGCTGTTTTCAGGGTGTGACTATCCTGCATTGCTTTCTCACAGGAAAACCAAAAAGTTGAATTATGGCTTCTTCCAACCAGAGCACCTACATGCCCCTGCATGCCTTAAAGGCAATCTTCAAACATGACAATTTGACAGCTTTTAAAGGTTACTGATATATTCAGACTGTTCTTCTTCTCAGTTCTAGATCAAACCAACTTTTTGAGCCACCAAACAAACCCTTAACCCCGTGATCAATGTCCAGGCTGCTTTTAATGTCATTCGACTTCATTTCTCTCCACCTAAACCAAGTTCATTGGTTTAAGGTGGTAAAAGGGGGACAAATATTTCTCTCACAAGGGACCAAGACTAGCCTGACACTTCTGTATCCAATGCATGTTGAAATATAATAAAAATGGCTGCTCACTTCTGTTGAACACAGATTTCCCAGAGGAGCGTCTGGCGGCCTATATTAAAGCCATGGAGACAATGTTGATATGACATCTTCTGCTCTACATGTAATATATAGTTAACAATGTTCCATATTTACTCCTGACATAACTGTGTCGCAGGGAAATTGCAATTCAAAATACACTATATTGATTTAAGATGTGAAGCTATGTGGCGTGCAAGCTGTGACGAAGATTTAAAGAGCTCGGGCTACAAGTTAGTAGGAGTGTGATAATCTCACTTGTATGCACACTCTGCTGTCTATTATCGTAGCTGTTCCTTTAAGAAAAAAAAAAGATTTTTCTCCTTTTGAATCACGTCATGAAGGAGTAAAACCTTGCATCTTTGGCTTTTATTTTGAAGTTTCCACTTTAAAGTCTCCTCTACAGTGAACGCATAAGACACTGAAAACATTGATTATTGGAATCCTCCCCAATAATTCATATATCTCGTTAGACATCTGCAAATGGGCATATCTGTGATGATGTGTTTTTATGACTTGTTGGAATAACCAGCAAACAAAATAAACTATTTTGTTTGCTGCAACAACAATTTGAAGAGTATTGTTGTTGTTTTTTTTTTTAAAAAAAACAACAACAATACTCTTCAAATTCAACTGGTATCGAGTCAGAAGGAGTTGCCCTGTTGTTAAGTCGTGCAGTTTCCATAATTAAACACATATTTTGGAAAGCTGAGATCATTTCCCCAAACCTCACGGACCTCCAGGGGTCCTCTGTTAGAAAATTTGTTTAGATGGGAAGTTTGAGGTTCTTTTAACTAACAGGAAATGTAACTTTTGTTTGTATTCAGAAAAGAGTTGACTTTGTTTTCCAGTCAGAAGGAGTGTATTTTTGTTATTTGGCTTTGGAAACCTTGAAGATGTTTTTGTTTTTTTTTCCTGCTTCCATTCTGTTTGTAAAGCCCAGAGCAGGTGGAAAAATAATTGAGATACTCAGTTGAGATGTTTTTAGTTATTGCCTTCACGTTTAATTTACAATTTGTGCTACAACCTGTTCCATCTGAGACTCAATCTGACAAACACGTGGAATCAGGAAACCACCTAAACACAACCAGCCTGACAACATGAAGTCGTCATGATTCTTTCATCTCTTCCTTTCAGCTTATGCATGTTCAAAAGATCTTGGTGTAATTAATTCAAGATGTTGTCATATACGTTTAGGCCTTTATGATTAGTTTCTTGGTTTATTCTTGTGTATTTGTGTTCATCGTCAGTTTTTTTTTACCCCCTCTTTTGGTTCTAGATCAGTCCTTGAAAACGCCTTTAAAATGCACCCCTGCTTCCAGCACACCTGAACTGAATGAATGACTCATTACCTTGCTTCTGCAGAGCTGAATGACATGTCAATGAGGGAATTAAGTCGTTTGATTCAGGGGTGTTGAAAAAGGGATCCATCTAAAAGTTGCTCTCCTGTTGTAGATCCTTTCAGTCTTTTCTTCAGCTCCTTCTGTTTTATTATGCATCTCGTCTGAGTTTACCTGTTTGTCTTCTCTCCCAGCTGCATCTTATTTATAATTAACCACCTGCATCCTTTCTGCAATCACAGCGTCGAGGCTGCTGGATTTTCATTGTTCGTCAAAGGATCCTTCCATTACCCTGTCTGTCCGCTTCCTGCGTTACCACTGTGAGTTCCCGTTTCAAGTTATTTTCTCCATTTTTACTGATGTTTGTTTACTTGTGTAGGCGGTAGCCCTCACTACAGCAACATGCACCGTGCTGGTGATGGCCAAGCGAAGCCTGGTGAAGCAGTAAGGCTTCCCAGCCCTTTGCTTTGCCTGAAGGTTCATTACTCGATGCTTCATTCATTGCTCACTAGTGACATCTGCTGCTGCTGCACTGAAACTCTGACAGGCTGGTTACTCAACTAAATTGTACCGTTATTATGAAATGATCAATTTGCATCTTGCCATCTATTACAGTCTCATTGCTAATTGACGGTGGTGGCTCAGATGCCGTTTGAGGAGTTTTAAAGTAGCGCCTTCACTCATCTAGTGATGTCTGCTGCCAATCAAATCACTTGTGTGAATTAACTGGTTACATCCATACCTCCAGATAAGGGGCTTTAGTTTTTTGGGAGTCAGACACCGTATGCTTTGCTTCCTGAAAATGCCCCCTCTTTGCTGGCTTCAGATGTCATCACTACAACAAAGGTTTTGATACTTCTTAGTCTATAAAGGTTTTAAAAACCACTTCTCAAGATTTGGGACTTTAGAGAACCACAGAGAGAGACTTCATCCACAAAGGGAGAAAACATGGAAACGATTTCTAACCTTCAGAACAGAAGCCGGCCTTGCCAAACTTACTTCAGAAACGCATCAGGGATTCATCCAGTAGTACACAAAACTATAAACTACTACAGGCCTGATGTTCCTCTGTTAATGCTTCCTCTGTTTGTGATTCAACAGCAGAAACAAACTGTGCAAAAATGGCATCCACAGAGAAGTACCAAACTGAAAACAACTGCTGATCCAAAAGAACACAAAGGCCTATTTCAGATTTACTGAAAATCCTAAAGGTTTTTGTGAAAATTTACATCGGAGCCGTGGTTTAAGAGTGGAGCAGTAGCTCAAAAATAAAGTATTTCTGACTAGCCTGGTCAACATTTGGGGTTAAATTTGATTCAGAAGCTGTGGCATGACCTTGACAGGCTGCGAAGAATCAATCAAATGTGGTGGAAATGAAACATTTCTGCAAAGAAAAGCTCGCCTAAACTCCTGTACTGTGATGTTGGAAAATTGCCAAATATCGCAAAAGCTTGATTCTAGTTGTCGCCACAAAGAGCTCAGGATTAGATGGGAATTACTTCCTCACTTGGAGCCAAGTTTGTTTGGATAACTTCATTATCCTGGCAAATGACTCATTACAAACTGCTTTTCATGTTTACTTTGTCTTTACAGGAAACTCAAATGTTACAACCTAAAATATTTAAGGTTGGCAACATAATTTTCAAATCCTTGTACATCCCTCATTTATTTTGCATTATCCTTTTCACACCTGGTCTTGGCTTGCTAATTGCTACACCTACAATGTGTCAAATGTCGCCTTCTTTAAAAATGCCCTCTTGATTTTCTTTGTTCTTGCTCAGACGCTTATCTTTTGTTTACCTCCATCTGAAGTTTAGATGTTGTTTGAATCGCTCTCTCTCGTTCCTTTGATTGTTCTGTTCAAGCAACACCTTTTATTTTTGGTTTATTCAATTAAACCCTTTCAGTTTTCTCACCTCTCTGTTGCTTGCAAACTTTGTTTTGAGCTCTTAATGTGCGTAACTATAACAGCTACAGTGTCTGACACTTCAGCTGCGTCTCAGTAAATTAGAATATAATCTAAGACTTAATTCATTTCAGTGAATAAATATGAATGCTACAATAAAAACATTACATAGATTCATTACGGCATAATGCAAAATAATTTTTTAATTTCTTTTTACGGCTTACAGCTAATGAAGTGAGTTTCTAGCAATTGTTTTACTTTTTTTTGTTTTGGCCCCGATTTTTTGCTGGTGTTGCACACCTGATGTGTGTGTGGTGCGTTAAGACCAATCGGGTCCAGTCAGTACAACGTTAGGCTCTTGCTGCCCACCACAAGATGTTGCCCTGAGCAGCTGTCCCATTTTCAGAAACTGCCGCCGTCTGTACCCAAGCATGTAAATGGAAAGTTTAATGAAAGGAAAAACTATGGTTGAAAAGAGTCGACAAGCAACAGGAAAGCTGCCATCGCCTTGGGAGGACTGTAGCACTTCTACTCTTTATTATTTTTTTGTGCGCGTGTTTGGGGGAGATTCACAAAGAATGGAGACTGAGTTCAGTTCTAGTTGGAGCTTCAAGAGCTGCTGCAGACAGACAAATCTCGGATGTGTGTTGTCCTTGGCATGCCTCTTGTTTGACTCAGTTTCAAGTAAACTATTCTAAATAAAATGAGGAATCTGCCATTTGCAAACCAACCAATCCAAGAGTGCAATTTATTTTCCTTGGTACTGATTGGTTGCATTCCCCCAAAAGCAAAAGTAAGACTCCAAATATTAGCTTCTGTGGGTGTAGTAAGATTGTTTGACTGTGGATATTAAAGTACATTTGGTGTTACCGTAGCCATAGATGTTTGTCTATGGCTATTGTGTCTGCATTCCCTGTAAATGCATGAGATCGAGTGTAATCCTGTAACACTATCAAATGTTTCCAGTTCAAGAGGAAACTTAAATCATAGGTTCAAAACAACACAGCTACTGTTTAAGTTTTTTTCCCCCCAATTTCATCCTGTTAATGTCAACGAGTGAGGTGACAAGAGGGAAGCATTTCAAGCAGGAAAAGTCTCAGATTTCCCTCTGAGGATCTGGGTTTATAAAGCCAAAAAAACAAAACCAGCTACTTGACACTGAGCCACCAGATCCCACCACTACAAACGGAGGAACCAAACACTTACAGTTTTAACTATTTTACTTTAATTGTCATTAGGGTATAGGGCTCTAAAATGGCTTTGAATGCACGACAGGAATAATGTGCGGTGCCATGTCCAGTCAAGCCCAGCTGTCTGTTGGTTATTGGCAGTGATTAAAATACAGTGTGGCCCTCTTCCATTCCTGCCTCTGTCTGTGCTTATTCTGCGAGTATGTTCAACTCGTGTTATGCAAAGCATCTGAGGCCAAAGAAATCAGCTCGTCCTGGCCAGCAGCCATATTGACTTGGGAAGAGGGGCGGGGGGGGGGGGGGGCTCAGAGTCCCAGTTGTTTTTGATGCACTATTACTCCAATATAAAATTTGAGATGCATTTCATCAAAGCGAGGACTGAACTCGTGCTTCCTGTCTGGGAGCAAATCGATGTTCCCGACGCTCCTTGAGGAAATGAAAGAACCGTCTGGACGGCGTAATGAAATCTAAAACTGGGAGTTTTATGAGATGCAGCGTTTGAGTGGCGTCTATCAAAAGCGTCTGAAAACAAAGTGGAGAATCAATATGGATATTAACGATACTCTCCCGCACAGATGTAGACAAATCAATGACGATAATCTCAAGTAATATCCCTTGAAGCTGTTCTTGCATTTATTTTAACTGAATTATCTTTATCCCTGTGAGGTTTCCATGACGTATTAATTGCTTGCCTAAGTGTTCTGTTTTCTAAGCACTTTGATTAATCGTCTTTGTCTTATCTGTCCATCATTATTGATCCATTAAACACACACTTAATCTTTGCTTTTTGGAACTAGAGATTCAATTACATCCTCCAATGCTGTACTTTCTGGCTAAGCACACTCCTTGCTCACCAAACACTTGTCACCTGTCTTTGCCCGTTACGATCCAGGGAGTTTTCTGCCTGTACTGCTAGCAAAGCGGTAAGTGTACACATGCAAACAGCCCGAGTAAATGAATGTCCTCCAGCTGCAAGTCCCAGTGACTTGGTTGTTGTTCACAGTAGGACTTTCCCCCATTCTCTGAGGTGTTTCCTCTGCTCACAAATGGTCCTCAGTTTTTTTTTTTTTTTTAGAAGGAAGTGGCTGCAACGCTACATAAGCAAGTATGTACAATCATGGCGCATATTTAATCTGAGGCAATTTTCCTTATTTAGCAAGATCTGTGCTTTTTTTGTGCTCCTAAAGATGTTTTCACACTTTATAGCCCCAATCCCTGCTTGTGTTGGTGCTGCACCAAGAACTACTGAAGGGACGTACGCAAGATGTCTGAAGAATTGCAACTTCCTCCTTTGCAAAATGTAAACAAAAATGGAGTGGCATCATTTTTGAGGTTTTACTTTTGTCTTTGGTAATAGACTACGAGCCTTTACTCCTGCTAGCGTCTTTTCAACAGGTTAAACTGTTACTCAATTCCAGGACAATGCAGATGGAGTCTGTGAGCAGAAAAAATACACCTCATGGTCCCTTTTGGTGGCCGCTCTGTCATGTTGGCTGTGATTTGTTCTGTTTTTAGACTTGAGTTATTATTTTTTTTGCATGTTTGGACAACCATTTCCTCTAGTTCTGGATGCTGTGCAGCTGCAAGGATTTTTGCTCTCACCCTTTTCCTCCTGGACAGTTGCTATAATGCGCAACCTTAACAGTGCATCGTTTTTACAACTGGGAGCTACCGATTAGCATCTCAAAAGTCAAGTAATGCCTGAACTGTGACCCTAAATCCCACAGGAGTTTAAATGTTGGTCATTAAGCAATATTTTTTTTTTAATAGCGTTTTGAAAAATACATCAGTGGAAAAAAAGGGAATCCTGGATCTCGGTTTGAAAATACTTGCTCCTACTCTTTTTTTTTTTTTTTTTTTTTTTTTTGGGAAAAAAAAAAAACCCCTTGGTTTTTTTTCCCCCGGGGAAAGAGGGGAAAAAGGGAAAAGGTTTCCCCTT